TGGCTCCTATCGTAGCATCTGGGGCTGTAATAGGATGCCTAGACCAGTTTTCACTTTATTTTTTCGTCCTGTCGCTTCATATTATTTCTGAAAAAATCCAAGAACCAACAAATAAAATTGTTCTGGCCTAATTTTTACACGCGCTGCGTCAGATCGAGATAGAGGCTTCCCGCAGCTAATCGCCTTACCGCAGACAGCCAACAGCTGACAAGTGCGACAATCAAATTACGGGCTGACAACCTGGCGCAGAAATATTTACACATCGCTGATGATCCGCCTGACAGCCTGACAGTTTTATAAGGCCACAGCAAGTAATTCGTATGGATGACATCAGCGCACGCATTAATTTTCGCCTGATTTTTTTTGGGGAAAAAAAAGAAATTTTGTTGCCTTCTGACAGTGGTTAACATGCCGAAAATGGGCAAAGATGTCTGTTGCCATGCCGGAAGATGGATGGCAGATAATTATGAAGAGAGGAGACAAGAAAAGGTTCTGATTTAATGTTTTGTTTCTTACTTTGATGCAGTGATATGTGATGCTGGCTGAGTATATTTGATGTTCCCACTGAATCAAAACCATTTGTACAATGATTGAGTCAAATTTTAAAATGTAGGAACCTTGTTTTTTTCGGCCTGTGTTGTTTTTTTTTTCGCCCGCTCGCATTAGATTTGGAGTCTGCAGAGGATGTCATCCATAAAATTTACTTGCTGTGGCCTAAGGTGCTGATTTCATTATAGCTTCACCAACCACGTACGTAGTGGAGTGGTTTGAAGACATATTGTTTTCCCTCATGTTTCTTCTTCTTCTTCTCCTCCTGCTGCCATTTCGTTAAATGGGGATTCAATTTCTTCCCTTTTGGGGCCAAATGACATGAAATTTGGCACGAAAGTAGAGTGGCCAAATACCCCCAGACAGTTTTTTTCATTTTATGAATACAGGCTTTTAAAATTGGCCATTTTCAGGCAAAAAATGTACATTTTGGGATCTGGAGCCCTGGTATTTAATCCGAATGACCTGAAACTCAGGATGAGGGATACCTTGGACACATGTCCACAGAATGTCATTCACACTTTTGACATACACAACAGTTACTGTAAAATTGTGTAAAATAAGGCTTTTTGGCTATTTTTGGACAAAAAATGTACATTTTTGGCTCCTGTGTCCTTATATTAAAACCAAATGACCTGAAATTTGGTATGGGATATCCTTGGATACAATCCCACAGAACGTTATTTATGCTTTTCGCATGTGTCACTTTAAAGTTATCTAAAATGGGCCTTTTTGACCAAAAATGTACGTTTTGGCTCCTAAGCGCTAATACGAAAACCAAATGACGGGCTCAGAAATATTTACGCATCGCCGATCCGCCTGCTAGCCAGTTAAGGCGCTGATTTCATTTTACAATTGTGTTTTACGACCAGCGCTCGGCGAGCAATCTCTGATGGGATCTGCACGGGCTTGATTTGTAAACATGAGGGACTCCGACAAGCATCGCTGATAAATGTTCGGAGAGGGGTTTTCTTTTATCTATTCACATATTCAACAGCAAAAAGTACAATTGCTTTTATAAAGCCTTTTAGATCTACTGGAAAACATAAATACAAGAATAAAACACAATAACAAAAAATACACTGTATTACATAATTACAAAGTGGTTAAAATAAAAATCTGTGTAAACCAGACAAGTTGGTGATCTATCAATTACGAGAATCTAATCTATACCTGGGGTTTTTCTTTTACATATTCACATATATTTAACACGTATCAGGCGAAAAACACGATTGCTTATTTTTTAAAGCCCTCTACTCAACAGTCTTAGAGGAAAACATTGTAACAAAATACATACATAATTGGAAAATGGATAAAATAAAGATGAGTATAGATAAGACAAGTTAGTGATCTATCTATTAAAAGAATCTACCTGTACAGTAAATAAAGGTTCGAACTATTTCGTTTTATGGCCAAATCCGCTCTGTGGCAATCCCTAATGAGATCTGGGCTTGATTTGTAAACATGAGGGACTCATGTATCTGTATCTGTATAGACGGTATAACCGCCTTTCGGCGTAACACACCAGCTTCTGTATCTGTATAGCCGGTATAACCGCCTTTTGGCGTAACACACCAGCTTCTGTATCTATATAGCCGGTATATAACCGCCTTTCGGCGTAACACACCAGCTTCGCAGGCACGCGGCGCGGTGACAGCTGGCTATATTACACCGATCGACTTGTTACACCTAACCCTTGAACTTCTAGCTGTAGACATTGTTTAAAGATATCTATTGACAATGCCCCTACTGTACTTGGTGACACCGTGTTCCACTGCGATAGTTGTAGGAAAGAATGAATTCTTGAACACCTCAATCCTTGGTTGATAACTCTGGTACTTGAAGGCATGGCTATTTCTTGTTCTCTTCTGGGCTGGTATTGAGTATTAAGTACTTAGTAGTTGGTACTCCCACCAGTTTATTAGTCATTTTGTACTGATAAATGCTCGGAGAGGGGTTTTCGGACAGGGATGCGGCATGT